CCCTTGTTTTGGTTTTTGTCCTTAATCATATATGTATCTCAAATCCCAAACCTTTTTTTCCCTTTTCCCATCAGTTCCTGCATCACTGTTTACTTTCTTTACATACTACTTCATGAATCTCTCTAAGTTTTTGACTCATGTCCTCTCTCAACCACACTTTGTGGTCTTAAACCCTGGAGCAACTTCAGGAAAAATCCTCAGCTAAGCCTGCATAGTTTGCCTTTGTTGCCTTTCATCCCAGCTTTCTCATCTCTTTTCCTTTCCTTACCCTGTCTTGGTCTTAAAATCAACATGTATGTGCTACCCATAAACTGTGGGCAAAGAACTTGGCCAACCATAGAGGGGACCCAGGATGACTTTGAAGGAGTTGATAGTCTAATGTGGGAGGTAGATAAATAAGGTCTGCGGAATCATGTGTGAAATATTTGAGGGACTGTCACAAAATAGTGAGAGACTAATTCTAGAGTAGTATGTGTGGAGAGGAGTATAAGTAATGTGAGGCAAATGGAGAACACTGCAAGAAAACCTTCACTGGGTAATTAAGACAGTTGAGTTACACAAAAGGGACTTTTCCCTTATCCTGTTGAGGGGGTCTGTGTCCACTATCTTTGGATTTGGCCAGTGTTTTCTTTTCCTAAATGCTTCTGTTTCATCAGGAAGCTCCTTGGCAGACTTAGTGGGCAAGTGTCCACGCTGTTTCTGATTCCTGCCTCATCGCCATGTCCCTTTTCTAGCTTTCTAATGTGGTCTAGGGCCCTTGTCTTCTTTCTCATAGTGCATACAATGGATGTGACAAGTTTCATCCTACTCCTCCCCTAGGACTGCCATGTGTATTTATTTTGAGGCCTGGAGAAAGAATGAGAAATAGAGTTGGAAGTTACAGAGGAAGTGGGAGGAGCAGTTGAGGTTAAGATCTCCCTCTGCCTTTTCACCTAAGACATAGACCCCCAAATGACCTAATTATGCGATAGTTGTCACTGACCTCATGGGTTAAGATGGAAAAGAACCACAAAGAGGCAGTGGAAACAATGGTCTTGTTTCTGGCCTATTTCTCCTTGGATACTTTCCCAAGAGATAGAGATAAGATAAAACTTGTTATCAAGATAGTGTTTGGTGTTTATGTTGCCTCTGGTGTATGTAAGGCTTTGCCAGCTCTCCTTATCTATAAGTCTTTTTAACACCTTATTCTTGGAAATCCAGTACTTCCTTAATGCAAAAACTGTGGAAATCCTACCTAGGACTTCTTGCTAACACAGAACACAAAGACACTTCTGTCTAGATTTAAAGTCTCCTCTAATTTAGGCACAGGTCAGTCACTCTTCTTGAAAGTCACTTGGTGGTCACATTTTGCTTTTTTATGTTTTCATCAGTCATTATAGTAGGTCATTTCATGATTTTTTTAATGTCATATATTTTCTGGAACTAATAAGTTCTTCCAGAAAAGTTTTAAAAAATTACTGACTTTATAAAGTAAGAATAGGAGTAGTAAATACTTAGGAATGTTTATTGAATGAATAAGATTTTAGTAATATGTACAAATATTGCTCAGTTTATGGACTGTGTACCTGAAGGAAAGGTTATAAAACAGATTTTTAGTAACACATTTAATGTATGACATTAGGAATTGATTCCCATGGAAAAAAATTCAGTAACAGTCCCATCCTGTACTTATATATTATTTCATGCTTTTCTCAAGAGTTTCTAAATTTGTAACTCCTGAGAAGAGCACTGCTGTCATCTTTATTTTACAGTTGCCTGAAATAAAGGCCAAGGTCAATATGGTAGAACATACAACCTATCTACTTTAGTATTCTTTCTTTGTAAACTTCAAATTAAAAAATTTTATAATTCTTTAAAAATACAAGAAAAATAAAGCAATTGGGTCAGTTTTTTACCATACTACTTACATAAAAGTGAAGAAGATGCCTTTTACTCTTAGTTTCTTCCAACGAACACTAAGCACTAGCTGTGTCTCAAATTCTGTTCTAAGTACTGGATGTAGTATTGAACAACATAGACACAGAGCTTATGTTCTAATGAAGAAAGAGAGATAAATAAACAATAACATAACAGTAAGTAATTTCAGATAGTTGTAAGACCTCTGAAGAAAACAAAATATAAAATGATAGAGGTGTTTGGGATAAATTTAGAAAGATCTGGGGAAGGCCTCTCTGACAAGGTTTACATTTGAACTAAAATCTGAAAAATAAGAAGGAGGCATGTGTTAGGTTTTATCACTGTGACCAAAATCTCAACTTGGAGAAGAAGAACGACTTAGAGGAAGAAAAGTTTATTTTGGCTCTCTGTTTCCTAGGTATAGTCCACAGTGGGCTGACTCCTGTGTTCCTCTGGGCCCAAGGTGAGGCCAAACATCATGGCAAAAGGGGTGTAGTAGAGAAATGTTGCTTTGTTGATGTTGCTTTGTTGTTCGTTGTGGCAGGAAGCAGAAAGAGGGAAATAGGGAAGGGGTCATAGGGAAGATGAACCCTTCCAAGGCACACCTCCAGTGACACGCCTCCTCTAGTCACTCCCCATTAACAGTTACCATCCAGTTAGATCATTCAACTAGGATAGACTGATTAGATTATGACTCTCATGACCAATCCATTTTACCTCTTGAGGTTATTCCTGCAGGAACATGGAGTCTTTTGAGGGGCACCTTATATCCAAACCATAACAAGATATGCATAAGATTTAGGAGAAGTACATTGCAGACAAAGGGAAAGGCTCTGGGAACACGAATAAACCTGTGTTCCTAAAGCACTAAAATAAGGGCCAGTGGCTCCAGCTTAAAGATGAAGTAGGTAAGGAAATAACAGATCTTAAAGGCCCATCTAGAACATGGCATGGAATTTGTATGCTACTCTAATGTCTACTTTTCCTACTGTTTTAATGTTAAAATGTTCTTTATTTTATAAAATGATGATGATACTAGATTGTAGATTTCTACTTAAAAACCTTGCCTCTGGAGAGGGTAAGGGCCTTAGCCTGTCTTCATTAACACTTACTGGTTTTGTAATCTTACTTGACACAATAAAATTTGATAGCCCTATGTCAGTCCTCTGTGTGTGTATGTGTGTATATACTAGGAATTGAACCCAAGACCTTATACATGCTAGGCAAGTGCTCTCCCAGCTATACCCCTCAGCCTTTTATTTTATTTTGAGACTGTCCTACTAAACTGCCAAGTCTGGCCTCAAACTTGGAATCCTCCTGCCTCAGTCTCCCAAACAGCTGGTTTTACAGGAATGTGTCACTGTACCCAGCTAGTCCTCAAAGATCTTTTTAAAAAAATTTTTGTTAGTCATGGGATTATAGTAATTTGGAAACTACTGCACTATACCACAGAAGCTTCCCAGTAGGAAGACTTGAAAATCCTTGTCAGTATTGAGTTTAATGTAATATCCTGTATGGTGGCATGCTCAAGTGTTTTTCTTACAGGGCCATTTAATTTAAATTCTCTGGATTCTCAGATTTTCCTTTACTTTTGTTCACCCACTTTCTTTTCCCTCTCTTTAATTTCATCACTAAATATGTAAGTTTCTCTTTTAATTAGGAATAGCCTTGTTATAAGCTTCCAGAACTTCTTTGGGCTCCATACTTAGACTATCCATCACATTACAGTTCATCAGGAAATAGCCTTATATGTAATATATATACTTAATCCAAATAGCCTTATATGTAATATATATACTTAATCCAAAGGTTTCTTAATCTTGAAGTTCCAAGTAAATTATCATCCTAGTCATTATTAAAAATGAAGTCTAGAAGTGAACTTATATGAAATGAGACTATAGTATAGGCCAGAGATCAGCTTTAGTCTAACCTGCGTCAGCCATGATTACATCTTCCCTTTGCCAATGAAATCCAGTGTGTCCTTCTCTCATACACCATCTGTTTGTGAAAATCAGCATTAGGGTTTAGTAGACATATGTATTAAAGGGAGATTTATTCCTGGAGTGTCTAAGCAACCATGAAATGCTTCTTCAATATGGTGATTGAAAAATTCATATCCGTTAATATATTTTGTTCTTTTTCTTAAAATTGATCATGTAATCATCTGGCTTAAGTCCAGATAGTATCTATTTGAGGCTGCAGATTTGCTATCTTAGGAACCCCTGATGATTAGTGTGCCTTTTTCATGGGATCGAGGCTACATGAGCCAAATTGTATTTCTGGCCAAACTTACCATTTTTACCACTTCACAAGCTTTTTTAAAAAGTCATGAGGGCAAAATTCTAAACAATCATCTTTTTGTCAAAAGGGTTTTATTAGCAACAGAACTCTTTCTTCAAAGAAAATTGCAGATGCTCAGTATGTAAAACATAATGTGGTTCCAAGCCACAATCTCACCCTTCTCCCTACCATAATGGCACCTGAAGGATATCTGAGCAATCATCAGGGCTTTGCAAAGCACAGGATGAAAACCACAATAAAAAATTCAAAGTGTATATACACTGATAAAAATATGGCTGTGCTACTGAAACTGGCAGAGCCATGGCACCAGAGCTTTGAAAAGAAGTTTTGTATATAATTTTTTGCCTAAAATTACATTTCAGAAGGTATTTACTAGATAAAACAAAGTCAAGCTTTAATTTTACCTACTTTTTCAGAACATAAGTTTTTACACAATTTGGGGTTGGTGGTGCTACTGAGGCCGATAAACTTTTTGTTTACTAATTTAAAAAGATTTATATTGGATATGATTCCTTTTTTCATAAATTATTTAATTATAAATAATTATTATGCTTTGTATATTATTATAAAGTAATTGACTTGGGCTGGGGATGTGGCTCAAGCGGTAGCGCGCTCACCTGGCATGCGTGTGGCCCGGGTTCAATCCTCAGCACCACATACAAACAGAGATGTTGTGTCTGCCGATAACTAAAAAATAAAATATTAAAAATTCTCTCTCTCTCTCTCCCTCTCACTCTCTCTTTAAAATAAATAAATAAATAAAGTGATTGACTTGCTAATATAAGCATTTTTTTTTCTTCTAGTTTGCTAGGGTTTGGATACCTGATCCTGAGGAAGTTTGGAAGTCAGCAGAGCTGCTCAAAGATTATAAGCCTGGAGATAAAGTCCTCCTGCTTCACCTTGAGGAAGGAAAGGTAAGAGTCTTTACTTTCAATTGTTGTCATTGCCTGCAGTGAAGGGAGTTCAAAAGTGTGAGTTTACTGTGACTTGCTGATCTTAATTGAAAGTTAAATATTTTTTTACTTACTTACTAACTTGGTAAAAATGACAAACTCAATTTTTTTATCCTAATAGATTTATCACAATGACATAGGTTGGTGAAAATAGCAGATATTTTTAAAATTCATTGCTTTGCCTGTGAGTTTATTATGATTATCAGGTTTAGATTTATATCTAATCTTCCCAAAGATATTATTTAATTGTATTTTGTTTAGATTAACATTAAAATTATTTCATATTAACTAAGATAACATTGCTTAAGGTGCCAGTTTAATTAAGATTTGATGTTTACTACAACTGATCATTTGAGAAATATTTGCTCAGAAAATCTTAAATTCAATTGTGTCTCTGCACTGTCTTTATTCATTTTGTGAATGAATTCATCTGAGTTCTACCATTTTAATCTCTCTATGATATTTTTACAGGATGTGTCACTTGCTTAAAAGCATTTGTCACATTAATTTCCTAAAACTTGTAGTCTAGTCAGGGAAACTGGATATAAATAAGTGGAAAAGTTAAATAATTAGAAAATGAAGAATAGTGTTGTACTGCAGTTCTAAAGATGTCAAGAGAATAATACATGATTAACTGCCAAATGAGTAAAACTATCTTAATGGTTAACTTGTATTGAATAATCATGTGCCAGGTGTGGTTCTAACTATGTTCTAGTTCATTTAATCTTAACAACAACTCCATGAGGTAGGGCTATTGTTATTCTCATTTTACAAATGAGGAAATCAAGGCTCAAATTGTGTAAGTGACTTACTCAGGGTTATAGAGGTATTAAGAAATGAGGCTCTGATGTGAATGCAGGAAATTTGCCTTCATGATCTGTGCTAATGGCCACTCTGTTGTACTATAAAAATAGTAAGGAATTGAGGATCCCAGTAGGAGGAAATATTATTATGGGCTGTGACATTGGGGGAGGCTTCTTGGAGGAGGAAGGATTTTGATAGGCAACAGGGTCTTAAAAGCTGGATTGAATTTTTTTCTTTTCTTTCTTCCTTTGTTCCTTTCTTTGATGGTGCTGGGGATCAAACCCAGCATTCATGCTAGGTAAATGCTCTACTAGGTAGCCTCATTCATGCTAGGTAAGTGCTCTACCACTGGGCTATCCCCGAGTCCCACAAACTAGATAGAGTTTGAATGTGCATATTTTGTTGTTTTTTTTAAGACAGGATCTTTCTGTGTGGCCCAGGTCGGCCTCAAACTCCTGGGCTCAAGGTATCCTCCTGCCTCAGCCTCCTTTGTAGCCAGAACTACAAGCATGCATCATCCCATCTTGTTTAAAATCTAGACAGAGTTTGGATTAATATAGAAAAGAGTAGATCCTCTGAGTGTTGGAATGTGTTGTAGAGATAGTGAATGCAACAGGTCAGTTGGAGTAGAGATGTAGAAAGGTATGTTTTCTGGTTCTAAAAATACATATTAAGGTACCTGTCACTATATACCATGTTAAGAGGTGGCAGAAGTTGTGATCTTTGACATCCTTATCAGTGAGGAAGATAAACATGATATAACAAAACAAATTGGAAATAAAAGTATATCAGAGTAATGAGTAGACAGAGGGCTGGTGAGGATGAGGGGTCAGAGAGACACTGTCAGAAGAACAAGTAGACATTGGGTGTTGTGTTTAGGGACCTGGAAAAGCATGTTCAAAGGCTAGGAGGCATGCATAGTAATGAAGTGTTTGGGGAACCACCCAAGTTCTGTGTTGATGGGATATGAAGTGAGAGTACAGGACCAGCAGAAGCATGAGAGTGAAAACCAGATCACATGCACCCAGTGTTCTTCCTATAAAACTCTTGAATTTCATTGATTTGGTATGGGGAATGATTATAGTGTTTCTAAAAAGAATGGTGCCTGGTTTGTGTTTTAGGGACTCATTGATGACCACATGGAGGATGAATTTCAAGAAAATAAATCTGAGGCAAGGAGACTAGTTGGGAAGAAGACAGGGAAGAATTAGGCCAGATTAGGAAAACCTTGAATGTCAAACTAAGGAATTAGCTTATTGAATATGTATTAGTCATCTACTTTGTGTTAGGTACAGTATTAGCCACTTTGGGCTACAGTCTCTCAACTTAATTTTCTCAGCAACTCCTGTGGATTAGTAGGTGATATTATGACTATTATAAATAAGGAATGGGGCTGGGATTGTGGCTCAGAGGTAGAGCGCTCGCCTAGCACGCGCGGGACCCGGGTTCGATCCTCAGCACCACATAAAAATAAAGGCATTGTGTTGTGTCCATCTACACCTAAAAAAATAAAATAAATAAAACAAAAGTTAAATAAATAAATAAATAAATAAATAAATAAATAAGGACGCCAAGGCTCAGAAACACTGAGTAGTTTTACCTGAGGTCAGCAGTCAAAAACTGGCTTTGGGGACTTAAAATGGAATTTGAACATAGACTTTTTCACTCTAAGACAGTGCTTATTCTATTATGCAGATAGCTGGAAAAGCAGATGATTTCAAGATATACATCTAGACAGATAGCTTCCCAACTTCTCCTAACCCCCCCTTTTTAAAAAAATTTTAATATTTATTTATTCTTTTAGTTTTTCGGCGGGCACAACATCTTTGTTTGTATGTGGTGTTGAGGATCGAACCCGGGCCACATGCATGCCACGCGAGCGCGCCACCGCTTGAGCCACATCCCCAGCCCTCCTAACCCCTTTTATAACCTGTACTGAATAATCAAAACTAGGGCACTAATATTGATATAAAACTGTTACTGACCTTCTGATTTTATTTGGAGTTCACCAGTTTTGCTACCAGTGCCTTTTTTTTTTTTTTCCTAACCCTGGGTCCCACATTGCATTTTAATTGTCATGTCTCCTTAGTTTCCTTCAGTTTCAAATAGTTCCTCAGTCTTTCATGACTTTCATAACCTTGACACTTTTGAAGAGTACTTGCCAGGTGCTTTATAGAATGTCCCAATCATGCTGCTTCCTCATGATTTGATTAAGGTTATTGAATTTCACGAGGAATGCTATAGATGTGATATGATCTCGGTGTATCATATCAAAGGGTCTATGATGTCAATATATCTTATTACTGACTATGTTGACCATGCTCATCTAGTTAAGGTGATGTCTGCCATGGTCTACTATGAAGTTAGTGTTTTTTTTCCCTTTATAATTAATGAATACCACTGTTCTACAGGAGATAGTTGAAGGCCACACGTAAATCCTGTTTCTCCTTAAACTTTGCCCACTAATTTTAGTGGTCATTACTCGGTCTTGCCCGTAGCAAGTATAACTGTGGTATTCTAATGGTGATTATCCATTTCTTTATTTTCGTATACATTTGTTAATTGGAATTCTTATGTACAGCAGTGTTATCTCTTCTTTCCCATTTCTATACTGATTCAGTCACTTATTTATGTCATTATGGGATAATGAGTATTTATTTTATCATTTTCTACTATCATTCATTTTATCACTAGAATTGTTTCCCTCGTTGGCGCTCTTAGATTTGTTCCTCTGTTTTTTGACATATCTTTATCCTGTTTTTTTAAAATCACTTTCTTATTTCCTCATACTAAAAGATATTTGAGGCCCTGGGTTCAATCCTTAGCACTACACACAAAAATAAATAAATAAAATAAAAGATAATAAAAAATTATCTTGTATTTTCTCTTCTCCAAATACCTAGTATTGGAGGATGATATTTAGTAACCAAGATCTGGGCACTAGGTATGCTCGTTGCTATTGGAATAGCACTGCTTCTAGAGTTTTTGGCAGACAGAGATAGGATGTGTATATGAATATACATATATACATATGTCTATACATACTATTGATTAAACTCAGGAAGGTAAATACCACTGAGCTACATTCCCAGCCCTTTTCAATTTTTTTTAAATTTTATTCTTTTTTTGGATTGGAGATTGAACCCAGGACTCTGTAAATGCTGGGTAAGTGCTCAGCCACTAAGCTATATCCCAAGCCTTTATTTATTTATTTATTTGTGTGTGTGTGTGTGTGTGTGTGTGTGTGTAGATGTTGTTGATGGACCTTATTATTTATTTATATATATATATGTGGTGCTAAGAATTGAACCCAGTGCCTCACACGTGCCAGACAACCTCAGCCCCCAAGCCTTTATTATTATTATTATTATTTTTTGAGACAGGATTTTATTAAGATGCCCAAGCTGCCCTTAAACTCACAATCTTCTTGCCTCCTGAATAGCTGAGATTATAGATCTGCATCACCCAGCCTGTCTTTTTTTATTTTGAGACAGGATCTTTCTACGTTGCCCAGTCTTACCTCCAAGTTACAATTCTTCTGCCTTATCCTCCCTAATAACTGGGATTATAGGCATGGACCATGTGCCCACAAACATATATTTATGGATTGTATTTATAGATATATACATGGATATAGATATTAAATCAAATGCATACAATACTAATGTTTGTACACCATCTATTCTTTAAAATATTTTTTTGTTGTAGATGGACACAATACCTTTGCTTTTTAAATTTATTTTTACATGGTGCCAAACAGTGAAACTAGTACTTCACATGCTAGGCCAGTGCTCAACTGCTGCACTATAGTCCCAGCCCCTATACTCATCTATTCTTTTTTGTATGACAATATCTCACTATATAGCTATAATAATAGATATAGGTAGAAAGATAGGTATTTTAGCTATGACTTCATAGTAGTCCCTTTTTCTTCAACACTGCAAGGTTAATCCTTTTATTCTCCCTCAGCTTATTTGTAAATTCTTTTTTTGGTTTTCATTATCTATAATATATTTACTCATTTGTTATACATGTAAAGTTATTTCAAAATTGGTAATTCACATCACTGTAAGAAACAAATTTAGCAGAATATAGTGTCTATGTTTAATTTTATTAACTCTTAATTAAAAAATTTTTTTAAAAATATTTTTTTAGTTATACATGGACACAATATCTTTATTTTGTTTATTTATTTTATGTGGTTCTGAGGATTGAACCCAGTGCCTCATATATGCAAGGCAAGCTCTTTCACTGAGCCACAACCCAAGACCTAATTCTTAATTTTAAAAATCCAAAAATATAATGATATGTGCATGTAATAATAGCAATTCTTGGGGCTGGGGTTGTGGCTCGGTGGTAGAGTGCTCGCCTAGCATGTGCAGGTTGCTGGGTTCGATCCTCAACACCACATAAAAATAAAATAAAGGTGTTGTGTTCAACTACAACTAAAACAAAATATTTTTTTAAAAAGCAATTCTTAGAAAAGAAAACAAGCAAGAAGAATAGACATTATAAAATCTCACCAAGTAGCTGGGCTTGATAGCACACACCTATCATCTCATTAACTTGGGAGGCTAAGGCAGGAGGATCCCAAGTTCAAGGCCAGCTTTAGCAATTTAGTGAGGTCTAAGTAACTTAGAAACACCCTGTCTCAAAATAAAAAATAAAAAATAAATTAAAAAGGGCTGGGATGTAGCTTAGTGGTAAAGTACCCCTGGGTTAAATCCTCAGTACCGCCCCCCACCATCACAACTATCCAAGAATCATTCCCCTTTTAGAAACTTTAGATTAAAATAAAGAAAACATAGTTTTTGCAACATTAGAAAAGTTCATAAATTTGCTAATTTTCAGTGATTCTAGAGGAGCAGGTTGTAGCCATCTGAAACCTAATTCCAAGGAGCAAATTTTTATAAAGATGTTGTAGATGAGCATCTCCCATATTACTGTCTTCACAATTCCAACTTCTTCCCCCACTGACCACATGAAAACCCCATCCTCTAATGGAGACTAAGAAGATTATTCTGCCATTTTATAGTCATCTGGCTACATGATGAACTTTGTAACCAGTTAAGCCATGAAGATTCTGGACATTTCTAAATATTCCCCTTATCATCTAAGGCTTGCTGTCATTCATATCTAATGCTATATTTTTAAGTTATCTGGGGATAGACATTGATGATGAGCAGAAAGGAGAATGTACTGAGAGGTAAAAAGCAGTCAACTGAGAACAGCCAGAGAACAGGCAATTGTGTACTGACAGAGTTGATGCAAGTACCATTTAGGACATTATATCCTGATAAACAGGAAAAGGGAATTGCTGAGAGACAGATTATAAATTTTTCTCTCCTTTATTGTAATCCATTCATGCCTGATTTGAATATTTGACCTCTGTATATATCTTCAGTGTTAACAAAATTAGCTTGTCCCACTCTGTAATTAAATTGCATTTTTGTTGTCTTTATCATAAAGTCATATGCCTATGACTTCAGAATGTATTGTACTTAATGTTTAGACCCAGGCACCTCATTAAAAATCTAATGAAAAGTATGAACTGTCTTTCCCAGGAAAGTTCACATACATGCATATATGTGTACATATTTGTATACATACACAAAGTGTTGTGCATAGTTTCAGGGGATTCTTGGACTTCTCAGAGTTTGGGAGTCCCTAAGGACATACCACATGCCAAGCATGGCCTCTTTTAATTTTTACCACAACTTTGTGTGGCACAGTTCTGTTATGCTGTTTTACAAATGATGGATTTAGGTTAAATAACATATACAAAATCACATAAAAAGTAAATACCAGTCTTAGGGTTTGAGCTCAGGTCAATCTGACCCTCAAGCCAAGCTCTTGACCTCTCTTATATTGTCTATCACTTCTCATAAGTAAAGAGGTGAGGGAAGAAAGCTCATTTAATGATTAAAAAGTTCTAGGTAAACAAGGTCTAGGTTCTGATTTCTCCAAAAAATAAAAATCACCAAAAAATTTTAGTAATAAAAAAAAAAAGCTTTTGCCATTTCCACCAGTTTCTATGATAATGGAAGATCCCAGGAAACAAAAACATTTAATAGCCGAGTAGCAAATCAGGAATAGGAAATAAGCAAAATGCATGGGCCTGTTTCCTGTTCCTTGCCATGACTGATCCAGATGCTGTACCTTCCGTTTTTAGGATTTGGAATACCGTCTAGATCCAAAGACCAAGGAGCTGCCTCATCTACGAAACCCTGATATACTTGTTGGTGAAAATGACCTCACTGCCCTCAGCTATCTTCATGAGCCTGCTGTGCTCCATAATCTCAGAGTCCGCTTTATTGATTCCAAACTCATTTATACATATTGTGGTAAGTATGCTTTGTTGTTTGAGTGGACTATAAACTCTTTCCTCTAAGAGATGCAGCAGTGGAAGCACTGTGCATGGGGAAATCAGGCTGTGGTTAGATTTTCTCTTAAAGACAAAAGTTATTTCAGAGTTATAAAAAGATTACCAATATTTATTAGCTAAATCGCATTTTGTACAAAATAAATTCATTTGTGAAGTCACATTATTTAGTTTTGCTCAAGATGAAAAGAACTTGGCCCATCTTTTGCATCTCTCCTCACAGAAGCCATATGTCAGATTTAATGCCAAATTCATATTATTTTTACCTCTTAAAAACTATATGAAGAGTAGATATTCAAGAACTTACATTTGGAGCAGGTTAGAGGCTTATTGTAACTTTTTCTTATTTACTGAGAAATGCAGGATTGATTTGACTCATGGTAAATCTTGCTTACTTGGAATGCCAGGCCTCTGCTCATTGCAGTATATGCTTTTTCTCTCTCTTAGAAATGAAGCCTATGCATGAGTGTATGTTTTTTGTTTCCTTCCTTCTCCCCATCTGTCTTTTCTTTTTTTTCTTTATTTTATTCTTATCTTCTATTTTCTCTACTGAACTCTCATCTTTCTTTTACTTTCTCTGTCTCTGAGACTCAGATCTGAATTTCCATCTGAGTCTTTTTGCCTTCTGTGCCCAATGCAGTGTTTGAACAGGAGCAGCCACCCTTTCTTCTTAAAAGAATGTACATCCTTTAGATCCTTGATGTTAACCTTTTTATTTTCCAGCATTGACTGAATATTCCTTTTTTTCAATTTTTATTTTTCTTTGGTACATGTTATTTTCTCAATGAAGCCTTCCCTGGCCACCCTATCTAAATTATAAGGCTTTTTTCCCTCCCAGCTATCTTCCTTGCTTATATTATTTTTCTCCTTTTTTCCTTACTACTATCTAAACCATATATATAGATGTATCTATTTTTTCTTACTTATTTTGTTAGTCATTTGAATTTCCTTCTAGACTATAAGCTCCATGAGCACAAAGATTTGTTTTTTCTGTTTTCTGTTGTAAAATCGCATTTAGAAAAGACTTGAAACATAGTTGGAGCTAAAGAATATTTGTTAAGTGAATAACTTCATTAAAGTAATATATGTAGCTACTGTAAAATATTAAATACAGAAAAGTATCAAAAAGGAAAAACAATTGCATGTAATTCACCAGTGAAAAATAGCCAGTATTCCATTGACTTAAATTCTTTATTTTTTTAAACTTAAATCCTCTCTTTGTGTACCTGTGAAAGACTATAAGCAGATATAAAGATGGAATCATGTATAGTTTTGTGTCATATTTTTCTATGACATTTTATAGTCTTCAAAAATAAGTGATTTTGGGCTGGGGATGTGGCTCAAGCGGTAGCGTGCTCGCCTGGCATGTGTGCGGCCCGGGTTCAATCCTCAGCACCACACACAAACAAAGATGTTGTGTCCGCCAAAAACTAAAAAAAAAAAAAATAAATGTTTAAAAAAAATTCTCTCTCTCTCTCTCTCCCTCTCTCACTCTCTCCTTAAAAAAAAGTAGCCTTTCTAAAAAAAAAAGTGATTTACAGTGGTAGCCCAATAGTCGTGTAGATGTCATAGAATGTGTTCAACTACTTTACTTTTATTACATATTTTCTTTGTTTCCATTTTTACTATTATGAATAACATGATAAACATCTATATTTAAAAACAAACCTTTACATGAATCTCTATTTTGTTTGGATAAATTTCTAGAAGTAGGAAGTATTTAGAGTACTTAAAACATTTTCACTTAAAAATTTTTTTTTCCTGATACTAGGGATTGAACCCAAGGCTTCATTCATGCTGGGCAAGCATTTTACCTCTAAGTTAAATCCCCAGCCTAATAATATTATTTTTAAAAACCCAGTCCAATTCTTTAATGGTGTTTCAGTTAGGACGATGTATAATGATTCAGAGAGACAAAAGTTGTGGTATAGAGAGCCTACAGAATGTGAGCAAATTTTTTACCACATGTACTAATCTCTAGGATATATGAAGAACTCAGAAATCTTAATATCAAAAAGAAAAATAACCCAATCAATAATTGGCCAAGGAACTAAACAGACACTTCTCAGAAGATGACATACAATTTATCAGCAAATATATGAAAAAATGTTCAACATCTCTAGCAATTAGAGAAATGCAAATCAAAACTACTCTAAGATTTCATCTCACTCCTGTCAGAATGGGAGCTTTTAAGAATACAAACAACAATAAGTGTTGGCGAGGATGTGGGGGGAAAGGCACACTCATACATTACTGGTGGCACTGCATATGGGAGCAACCAATATGGAAAGCAGTATGGAGATTCCTTGGAAAACTTGGAATAGAACCACCATTTGACCCAGCTATCCCACTCCCTGGTTTATACCCAAAGGACTTAAAAACAGCATACTATAGTGATGCAGCTACATCAATGTTTATAAAAGCAGCACAATTCACAATAGCTAAATTGTGGAACCAACCTGGATGCCCTTCAGTAGATGAATGGATAAAGAAACTATGTGATATATACACAATGGAATACTACTTAGGAATTAAAAATAATAAAATCATGGCATTTGCTGGTAAATAGATGGCGCTGGAGAATATTATGCTAAGTAAGCCAATCCCAAAAAACCAAATGCTGAATGTTTTCTCTGATATGAGGATGCTGATCCATAATAGGGATGGTGGGGGGTAATATGGGAGAAATGGAGGAACTTTAGATAGGGCAAAGGGGAGGTAGGGGAAGAGAGGGGGCATGGAGGTAGGAAAGACTGTGTAATGAGATGGACATCATTATTCAAAGTACAAGTATGAAGACACAAATGGTGTGACTCTACTTTGTACACAACCAGAGACATGAAAAATTGTGCTGTATATGTGTACTATGAATTGAAATGCATTCTGCTGTCATATATAACAAATTAGAATAAATGAATTTTTAAAAAGTTGTGTATTTTGATCTTTGAACAAAATTATATTAGTTTAATATGAACTAAAAATGAAATGAAGTTTGTGTTAATTATTTTACTTTATGCCAAGTTTGATATGTTCATTAGGATATCTCTGATATCTTTTTCTTTTTCTTTTTTGTCCCCTCCCTCCAGGTATAGTCCTAGTAGCTATAAATCCTTATGAACAACTGCCCATTTATGGAGAAGATATTATTAATGCTTACAGTGGTCAGAACATGGGTGATATGGATCCACATATCTTTGCAGTAGCTGAAGAAGCTTATAAGCAAATGGCCAGGTAGGTGAAAGCTTTCATTATTACTTCATGGCTCTTATTATCTGTGATAATTTCTTCTTTGTAAGGTCACAGATATTTTTAAAGTTAATGGCAGTTCATGTATCATTACTAACTTAGCAGCCTTGGTAACCAGTTTGTCTGCATGGCCTGGATTTTTATTAAATATTAAAATAATCTCTTGTTGGCCAAATGTGGTAGTATATATCTGTAAACCTTGTGATTTGAGAGCCTCAGGCAGGAAGATCATAAGTTTGCAACCAGCCTCAGCAACTTAGTGAGACCCTGTCTCAAAAAATGAAAAGAACTGGGGCTGTAACTCAGTGATAAAGCTCTCTTGGGTTCAGTCCCCAATTACATACACACATATGTAATCTCACATTTATAAAAAGACGTACAGTTTTTAAAATATTGCCTTTGGAATCTCACCATGATTCTGTGACTAGGCAAGGACAGAAGTTATATTTTACAGATGAAAGGATCAAGTTTTAGTGATATTAAATGACTTGCCTAATGTCATTCAGTAGAATGATAGACCAGAACTAAAAGACCTATGAACTGGGGGGGAAAAAATTGGTCTGTACCCTAGAGAATTAAATCTAAAAGAAAGTGTAATTTTAATGTTATGATAGGGTATCACTCATCCTGAATATCATCTGTAAAATATATCAGATTTAAAAAAAAAATTTTGTAGTTATGTATGGACAGAATGCCTTTTTAAAATTTTTTTATTTTTATGTGGTGCTAAGGATCGAACCCAGTGCCTCACACATGCAAGGCAAATGCTCTGCCACTGAGCTATAGCCCCAGCCCTTATATCTGATATTAACCACAGGACCTTAACATTTTAAAAAAATATTTATTTTTTAGTTATAGATGGACAATTTTTTTTTTTTATTTTTATGTGGTGCTGAGGATCAAACCCAGTGCCTCACATGTGCTAGGCAAGTGCTCGACCTCTGAGCCACAACCCCAGCCCCAGGACCCTAACATTTTGAGGGTGGAAAATGGGAGAAAAACATTCTCAGGATTAGATTACACTTAATAATATGTAAAAGAATGAATGCATAAAATAATAGCATATATTTGACTAATTTCTCCAGCTTACAAAGCAGAACTTGGCCTATTATATATGTATATAAAGCTCTCTTGGGTTCAGTCCCCAATTACATACATATATATATACATATATATATATATATGATTTGAGAAACTCTTAAGTAGTTATGAGTGGAGAGAACACTAATATTGTAGAGTTTTTTATTTTCTCTTCTTCAGTCAGGAAGATTGTACATGATTGGACCATTGTGACAGAATTATAGAATTATTTCAATGAAAGAACCCTTAGAAGTCATTGTGCCCTTTTACTAATAAAATACTATTAATGGTAATACTTCTAATGGCAAATAATAGTTATTACATGTTCTCTTTCTATAAGACATTGATTGATTGCTTTTCCCTTATTAACTAGTTTTATCCTTAAAACAACCTTCCGAGTTTCACTTTATATTAAACTTTATTTTACAAATGAGAAAACTGAATCATAAAGAAGTCATGTAGTAACTTTTTCAAAGTCTCATTACTAAGGTGAACATTTTTCAAATTCAATTAGTCTGATACTATAAATGTTAATATGTTGCATATAAAATGACTGAACATAGTTTAGCACTGTATAATAGGCCACAGTATGCCAGATTCTTTTATAAAGTAGTAAGAAATATATAAATTTTAAGAAAATTTATTTTTAAGCTTAAAAATTTGAGAAAATTTCCTCAATCAGTATATTTTCTCCTTAAGTTGGAAAAGTCTACCAATATTTGATTTGTAGAGTATTGGAGCATTGCAGGAAACTTTAGCACCACTCAGTACAACCTGAGAACTAGTGGACCAAGAGAGAATCACATGGACTGCTAGACCCTAAAAATAATTCCTGAAAATTTAATACTACTGAGAAAATTTATATGACTTTTTGGAAAATATTATTCTTTTTCTTGTTCTTTTCCTTCTTCCTTCCTTTCTCCCCAGGCCCTTTTGTTTTGCATTTTGTGTTCTGGGGATCAAACCCAGGGCCTTGAACATGCTAAGCATGTCCTTTACGACTGAGCTACATCACCATCCCCCTTGGTAGTCTTAAATAAGAAGACATGGCTCTTACCATTTTTGCTGTGGTAATCCATAGCAAATGAATGAATGGTGTTATGAATGGTGTTAGATTTACCCTTAGATTTACTTTGGTTTCCTAGCATTTTCCCCACTCTGCTTTATCATCCCTGTGGCTTAGTCACACACTGTGATTTCTTTTTTTTTTTTTTTTTAAATATTTATTTATTTTTTTAGTTCTCGGTGGACATAACATCTTTGTTTGTATGTGGTGCTGAGGATCGAACCCGGGCCGCACGCATGACAGGCGAGCGCGCTACCGCTTGAGCCACATCCCCAGCCCCACACACTGTGATTTCTTAACTGAAAGTTTATCTTTTTCCCTTTGCTTAGTTTTCTTTTTAAGGCAGTTTTAAAGTATGCTTCAACCAGTTATGGTATTATGTTGTTAGTACAACCTAAAAGTCTGATACAACAGCTAAGGCTTAGGCTTCCAGTCATGAATCAGATGTTCCAGTGCAGGAACATCCCAGACACCAGGTATTGTCCTGGACATAAGAGAAACAGCAAAAAAATTAGATGAAATATGCAAAAATTCCTACCCCACAAAGCAAATCATGATTAAAAACTGAAAATAAATAAAATGCACAATTTATGAAGTATCTATAAGTGCCATGTTGAGGACAATGCTGGATGATTAATAAAATTGGAATATGTACTGGGATTAGGTGGTACTATTGTATCAATATTATTGATCCTGATTTTGATCATTGTAGATATGTTAGAACAAGTCTCTGAGGAAATATTCTCTAAAAATAATCATGTTTGCAACCTACATTCAAATATTTTAGGAAACATCAGAATAAGAGAAACATATTAATAAAGCAAATGGACAGCTGGTGAATCTAGGTAATACACATACAGGAGTTTGTTTTACTATTTTTGCAATTTTTTTGTTTGAAGTCTTGAGAAAACTGAATTTACAAAGCAAACCTAAAAAGAACAGACTGGGTCAAGGGTAGAAAGTAGGAGATCAGCTAGGTTATTGCAACAGTCTAAGCAAGAATGATAATTTTAGTTTGAGGATATTAGTGGAGATGTTTAGGAAGTGGGTGGATTCTGAATATATCTTTTACAATAGAACTGGCAAAGACTTGCTTATGGTAGAAAGAAATTGGAGATAGGGACAAAGATTTAATCTGAGCTCTAGAACATTGAAAGTACCATTTCCTGAGATGGAGAAGTAGTAAGAGGAGCAAGTTGTGAATGTGTGTGGTGTGGGGCAAAGAGTAGGGGTGGGCTTCCATTTTAGATCTTTAAGGTTGAAATGCTGTTTTAGGCATCTCTTCTCAAAGCAAAGTTAACAGTAGTGATTCTTCTCAAGCATGATAGTAACAATAACCAGAATGCTTGGCTCATGGCTCCTTTCTAAACATGCTCCTTGGAGAACAAAAATATTTTAAGAGAATACAAATACTTTTATAGAATAGCCTCCTAATTTTAGTATTCCTGATGACCTCCAGAGGAGAAAACCTCAATGGACTGCAGTGTCTATTTTTATTATCATATATTCATTTCACATTGTTGCTAGTCATTTCTCATGTTGAAATTGATTATTCTTTAATATCTAAGTCATAATGTTATTTGCTTTAAAATAACATATTTTAATTTTGTTTCCCTTAAATCAGGTAGTACTGATTGCTTAACTTTTCTGTATTTTCTCTCTTTTGTGAATCAATTTTACTGTTTCATTTATAGTTTTACTTGAAATTAGCTAGTTCGGTGCAGTTAATTTTGGTATAGTAAAAAAGATATCTGTACTAGTTGAGTCTCTACCAATAATTAACTATTTAACTTAAATCTCAAAATTTCCTTGGATCTCAGTTTAATTACATATAAATAGAACAGTTTCACTAATACCTAGTTTTACAATTACAGACTATTCCGTGGAATGCATTTGCTACCTTTCTGTTTATACTAGCATGTAGTATTTTTCTTCTTCTGAGCAGAGGACAGATAAGGAAATGTGCAGCAAAACAGAAGGCTCACAGTATAGACCTTACCTGGGAATCAGGAGATGTGGGGTATAACATCCAGCTCTGCTCTACCACACTAGCCACCAAGCTCTCATGTTGTTTCCCCCAAAGAGGAAAAGAATGTCTAAACTGTTTACCTCAGATGTTAAATTGATAATACAAAACTACTTTGAAAAATACTAAGTTGTATTCAAATATAAGCTTTTCCTTTCATCATAGTCATTATTATTATAAAGTCTCATTCTCCTTTCATTACTTTAGTTTCTGATCTGGTTTTATTTTCTCCTGACTTTATTCATTGTCAAATCTTTCCTTAGGGTGGCCCCTTTTTTCATTTAGCTACATGATCTCTGGATGCCCCACTGTCATGAGGTCCATTGACCAAGTGGAAGATGTCTCCTGTTAACTGCGATTCAGCTGCCATGTGATTCCAAGTAACCTAGTTATGCAGATAGACTTGATGTTCTACATGCTATCTAATAATTCTATTCAGATGCTCCTTGACTTATGATGAGCAAGTCATAAGTTTGTTTACATCCCACATCATTATAAGTTGGAGATGATCTATCTATATGTAAGGGTGGATTAACTTATATTAATTAATAGCTACATGCTTAGATGTCTGCCTGTTGTGTGCCAAACAAAGTGCCAGACATGTTACCTGTAATCTTCATTTTATCCCTAGAAACAGGTATAATCACCGCTGCTTTACAGGTGAGGAAACAGAAGTAACTTGTTCAGGTCATATTTTAATAAAAGATATCTGGGAGCTGAGATTTGAATCTGGCCCTGAGACTATAAACCTTTCTTCTTTGCCATTTAGTTTTCTTACTTTTAACTATCTGGCCTTATTCAAATTCACATTGC